CACACCGTACTACAGGAAAGGCTGCAAGGTGGAAGCTGATTCTTAGCTTCAGCTCCAATCCTCTGATATAGTTCAGTATGGGTTTGGTTAAATCAGCCACTGCTTGCCTCGCTGAATAGCTCCCCATCTCGTTGGACCAAAGTATGCCTTACCTGCAGCCTGGGCCACAGAGATGCTGGACAGGAGTGTGAAAGCAAAATCTGGGAAGCTTTCCAGGTTGTTCTTTTTGAATGAAGACCTTGGGGATGCACACTGTTGTCTTGTACAAGAACTAATCCCGATGCAGCCTCCTTTCTATTAATCATATTGGAAGAGCTGCCAGAGAGGGACAGCTCTTAGCCAGCACCACCCCACCGGGGTTCAAAGATGCGAACTGTTTCAGCAACCTCCATGTGGAGGGGTTAAAAGCACAGTAAGAAATACTTTGTGTTGCCCTGTCCTAGTCCTTGCATTGAAAGTCTTAAGGATTTTTAAATCATAAAGCAGGAGAAAAGGAAGCACATTTGACAGTTTACCCTTTACCCTACCCTGCTGAGTAATCAAAGCTGGTATTGAACAGGAAATGTAGTTTAATTTGGTAGACTTCTGTTCTTTTTGGTTAGTTGGTGTTAGTGAGACATCTAATATCATTCCAAAACAGTTGCAAGTGCTATGCTATAAACTTTAGTAGAACAAGTACCTGGATGGTTCTGTAGGGTCCTGAATGAGGCAGTGGATTTAGGAGCCTAAAGCAGGGAATAGGCTGATTTTAGGTGTCTATACGCAAAACTGCCACCGTGGATCATCCAGCCAGGAGACACACATCCCTTGGGAAGCAGCTGCCTACAGGGGTATGTGGGAATCATCCAGGAGCCAGCACACAGGCTCAGCCTGTGCCTATGGGCTCAGCACCCAGCACTGCTTTCTTTGCGAGATGTCCTCATGGTGGTGTCAGTTCCCATTTTTCATAGGGCAGCCTACAAGCGAGGGTGTCTCTCCTAGAGGTAGGAAAAGTGTTTTTAACACTTCCCTTGTCCCAGAGCCATGGCTTTCTTCTCTCTGAAGTGTGTGGGCCACCAGGCTGTGGGATGAGATCTTTCTTACCCCTCCTTTGGGCATTTTATCCCGTTGCAGAAAGGAACCAAAATACCACAGAGTCCAAAGGAGAAGAAACAAATGGGCTTGACCTTGTGAAGGTGCTTAAAACAAACTGGGATGGGTCGGTGCTCTGCTTCCAGGGTTGTAGCGGATGGAGGGTGTCGCATCAGTTAACATGAAGGCACTAACATCTCTAACAGATTTTGGCCTTAGGTAGATGAAGCATTAGGTACCTACACCACGTCAAACGTCCATCCCACAGTGCCCTAAGCTCCCACTGAAGTTACAGGGATTGCACTCAGCAGCATGAAAGCCAAATACTGTAGGTGCCTCATTCTAAAAAGGAAATACATCCGTGATGTACAGGTTAAATGACATTTATAACATGAATAATTTCAGAGCACTGAGCTATTGAATTCTAGGAAAGATTAGACCTGTTTGGCAATACTGTTTAGCTGCTTTTACAACAGAAATAAGCTGTTTACTTCCTGAGAGATTCATAAGGAAAAAACCCCAATCTATATCAATAAGTAAGATATTTTCCTTACCAGAGATATTGATTTAAATATTGACTTTGCTGCTGGAGGGTTATTTCACTCCATGCTGCAGATACTCATTGTCAAGTGACATGTGGTATATGGACTAACAAAAATGTGATTTCTGGTCCAAGAATCTTATCTGGATGATTCTGACTTTCTGCATTTGGTTTGGTCTGAAGCAGTCCTAAAACTCCTCATTTACTTTAGCATCCATGGGCTTCGCTCCGTGTGAATTACTTGCAACTAGGATCAAAACAAGCAAACGTTAAACCCTCCCCACACACACAGCCCCTTTGTCCCATTAGTTCCCTTTCCTTTCAATCTTTCAGCAACGGGTTTAGGCTCTGCAAGACAGAAGTTCTTTATTTAGCAACAGAAAAGGTGCCACCGCAGAACCTGTTACAGCTTGTCAGAAAACCAGCCCGAGTGTGTTCTGGGACAAGGACTGGCTTTTTATTGCTGGCTTATACAACAGCTCTCACGTTGGCTTTGCTGACCCCGATCAGGCCTGGCGATAGTAATAATGACAACAATAGCTCATGCCACCGAGCAGCAGCCCAGTGCTCAGGAGGGTTGTGACAGTTCCCATCACAGGGCAGAAGTGCAAAGTACCAGTGCAGGAGGAAAGAAAACCCCCAAAGAGTAAAAATCCCATCTGCAAGGAGGAAAAAGCTGTGGCCCCCAGGTTATAGTCTTGACGATGTATTTCCCCGAAGCATTGTATCTAAGAAGCAGGGGTGCTACTGGAAGGTGTCCTTGCCCATGGCAGGGGTTTGGAACTGGATGAACCTTAAGGTCCCTTCCAACCCAAATCTGGGGCACAAGGTGGTGGATAAAGACCTGACTGCTTGTGGTCCCTCCCTCTTTCTTACTCATAATTGGGGTGAGATGAAAATGTGAGGCAATGGTAACACTCACACATCTGCTCCTTGGCCTCTTTGGGAATCACCTGCTCCCTGCAGGAGGGGTGACAAGAAAACAGAGTCGTTTTCAGGGGGAAATTGCATGCAAAAGGCTCTTTCTGATCTGAAATTCCTGAGGTCAGCTGAGCTGTGCTGTCCCCCCAGTGCACTAGCATCATCCCATTCGCAGCAGAGGACCTCTGGTGCCTGCATGGAGGAAGATGGGCTTTGTGTGTAAATCTTTCCCTTGGGAGCACTGAATTCAATACCATACCTATGCATTCAAGGTGTTTGCTCAGCTCTTGTCCCATTAGGATAGGAAGAGGAGCAGAAACCCTTTTGGAGGCTATCCACAACCAAGAACCTGGCAGAAAGGGAAATCTCAGACCCCATTAAGAGGCACTTCTCTGCCTAGCCTCTGCTAACAGGGCTCTGTGACTAGAAGCTGTTTATTGTGGAAGAAACAAGGGGACAAAGAGGGCTTTGGGTTGCTCACAGGTGCTTTTTTACCTGGAGTGGATTTACACCAAACATGAGAACTGGAACTAGGGCACAAATTCACCTTATGTTTTACTAGCGGTTACTTCACTTAGTTGTACCCCTTTCCATCTGCGTGCACAACAAGCAATGTGCCTTTTTCTTTGACCACAATGTTTTAACTGAGATTCTGGGGTAAACAAGTGTGCCAAGTCTTTATGAACCCCAGCAGTGTCATTTCTCATTACAAGACTGATTCAGAGGAAACAGTGCTGCTAAACCAGCTACTGAATCCCAGCAAAAATGACAGTTTTCCTCAATCAGTTCCTTTTGTGACCTTGATCTGAACCTTAATCTGTTTTAGCAAAACTCTTTTTATTAGCCATTCATACTTAATCATACCGCTAATTTTCCTGGTTTTAAACTATCAATTTAAGGCTGCGTTTCACGTAACTAATCAAGGCTGATGTATGTTATTTTGGCTATGGTTTCTAATAATTATTCTTAAGAGTTTTTTAAGTCTGCATTTTCCATAGATAACTGTCAAAATTGCAGATAGGGTAGAATGGCTTGTTTCGGTGATACTGGGCACACAAGTCTGCTTTCTTATCTTTAGTGAAAATACCCATTACGAGCATTGTATAGGGAATCTGAGCCTTGCCTTCTTTTCTCTCCTTACATCCGCAGTGGCTTTTCATTAGTGTTATTGTTGCAGACAGTCATCATTGGAGGGAAGGGTTTTCAGGATCAGGCTCCTTTTGAGGTATTTAGAAGAAGAAATAGAAACATATACTTGCAGCTCTCTCGCAAAGACTGTAAACTGTTGTAGCTAATGACTAGTGATTTTTCCTTGCCTGTGATACTAAAGAACAGATTGTGTTACTATACTTATCTCTACCTTTACAAACAAATACACCAGGAAAATATGTCGAGCAGCAGAAACCACGCTTGTCATCAAATGCTTCGCTGCCCTGACTACAGGTTTTTTGTACTTTTTGGCAAAAGCCTCAAAACACATCGTGGCTTGGTTAAGCCTGGAATTCTTTACATTGTAAAGGGAGCCTTTCTGTATCCATCGTACGCATGCGGCTCTCCACCGAAGGCAGCGCTTCGCTGCTGTTGTTTGCCATTCTTAACAGCTGCCACACAGAGATCACAACCCCTCGTCCTGGGCTTTGTACCCACCAGAGGCACTTCTTCCCCCCCAAAAAAACTGATCCACATCACGGCAGGGCTATGATCTTAAAAGCCTGGCACTTCGGATTAGGTTTCTGTTGAAGTTTGCGGAGTTGATCGATTCCCAGGGGCTTTGTGTGTGTGCAGCGGGGTGGTTGCATGGGATAGGATGCATCCCCCCTCCCCGCAGTTAGAGGTGCCATTGGAGCAGCACTTGGGGGGAAGCTTCACAAGCGTTTTCCAGCCTAAACCTCTCGCTCGGTGCTCAGTGGGACTTTGTCAAGTGATGCGCTAATGTTTCGTTAGGGAATGAAGCAGGTTTCCTAACTGCAAGTGAGCCGAGTGACAGATAGGATTTTCTGTCTTGAAGAGAGAGGAAAGCCAGAAAGTTTTTATGTTCCTGTTGGGGTCTTTTAGTGGAAGATGCTCAGATGTCTTGGTGATGGGTTCCCATGCCAGGTGGAAGGCAATGTCTGGAAGAGATGAACAAGGATTCTTCACCATCTTTCTCTCCTTAACTAAATCCTTTCTTTTGGTAAAAGTACAATGTTTTCCCCACCAGATTGAAAGGATTGCCATGTATGGTTGTGTAAAAAACTACAGGTTAATTGCATTATATATATCTGTAGGAAAATGAATGCTATATGCAAAAATGGATAAAAGTGCTCAAATAGCCCATTAATTAACTCGGCCCTATTGTTAGCAGGGTTGGCATTAGAGGAAAGAAAAATGCCTTTTCAACCCGAAACCTTGCCTCTCTCCCCATTCATGTTATCTCTTCTTGTCACTTCCCATTAGCTGATCATGACATCTTATCTTTTTCCTGAAGGGTGGGCCAGAAGATTTCTTTGGAGCTCATGTAAGTGACACTCCAAGGATTGGCCAGCAGCAGGTTCAGCGGCCCCAGCCCCCGGAGCCAAGGATGTCATCCCTGTGACATGCCTGGAAACCCCAGCTCATCCCTCAACTGTCCGGTTACAGCAGCATCTCCATCATGTTGCACTTCAAGCCTGTCACTGGCATGGGTTCACGCTCCTCACCCGGGAACCCTTCCCTGCTTTTTGCTGAGGACTGTGGTTTTATTTTTAACACAGAGTCCTTCACATCGGTGGTGGTAAGGATTTCTTTGCACGATGGGATACTGCCAGAGGAGGGGGTGCCTGGGGATCATGCCCCACACGTACACACGTGTGATGCTGAGACAGGAGCTGTGTGTGAAAGCCACCTAAAGCAGCATTCCAAAAGTATTTGGTTTTCAGGGCTTTGGAAAGGTCCTGGGCTGGTAGCTCTGGACACTACCTGTGGTCTCTGCGCTTCCACATTACTCTATGGGAAACAGATTCTGGGCGAGCTCTGCTTTGCCTGAAGGTATGGGGCTGCCACCCGGGCCCTTGGAGCCCAGGATGCTCCAGTGAGAGGACACAGCCAGATTGCTCCCACAGTGTAGCCAGACAGTATGGCTCATGCTGGAGGGACATGCTGCCGGCACCGTAATTGCAGGCTCACTAGATTCTTGCTGTGGTATTACAGATTCCCCCAGGGAAACGCGCAGCTATGACCATTTACATGGTGACATTGTCAGGCATGAGTCATTTTCTTCCCTTTCTCTCTCTCTGTGTCTCTGTTTCTCCTCTCACACACGCACATCCACAAATGCAAGCAGAAAACAAACTGGTAAATACAATTTAAGTGATGCTTTAGTGCACTTTCAGCCCTTCTTTTTCTAGCTGAATTTGATGCATTTCCCTCTCCCACCCCCCCCTAAAATGTAGCACAGATGAATGTTGATACAGGAATGATGACTTTTGCGTCTTCTGCTTTGTATTAGCTTCTTTTTATCGATTTACTTTTGAGATTGCTTTAACTAAAAAATTAATCAGTAAAACTAATCCTTAAAACCCGAATCTTTGTCAATATAATAAATCAGGAATCTTGCAGAGTGAGTGACAGGGTCACTGTTTAAGAAGTTTTTTACCTGATACTCTTTAATACTCCAGTTTTGCTAAGGTTATTGTCGCCCTTTCCCTACGCATCCAGATGAAAGCAATGTCTATAATCTCATTGAATTGTATTGGGGACGTTATCATAATTCACACGAGTTAAGTACTTGTGGATTTGGCATCCTTGGCTCTGAATTCCCCCAGGAGCCAACTTTTTCATGGACTCTGGAATGATCATTTTGATGCTTTAAAAAGAAAAAGAGCATCTGCTGCAAGCAAGTTAGGAAAACCACTGCAAAGTTGTGGGGTGCCCGAATTAAGGCTGCTTTTGCAAGGTAAATGTGGTGGATCATTCGTCCTGCTCATGCTGAGCAACACTGAGCAGGACATCACTGCTGAACTGCACACTGGCTTAAGTGGGAATGGATTTGTTCTGTTTTTGTCACTCTGTCTACAACACAACACAGGAGACAGGGTTTGTGCAACTATGCACTGTTGCCACCTAACAGGCAGGGTGAAAAGGTAGCACTGTAAAACAGCTGATCCTGGAGAGTCCCACAAGGGAGGATGCAGGTATCCGATCTGTGTAGCCAAATGTGTGTGCCAAAGACACTGCTGAGGATGTGTGACCATGGTGGTGAGGCCTCAGGTTTAGCATTTTGTTAGGTTTATATTTGTGGAGTGAGCAGAGTTGAATAATTTATGGTGGTGACTACTCAGATACCATATGTCGCGCTTCTTTTAAAGCAGGATGGGGTTTTTAATACACAAAAGGGAACACACACTGGAGCTGAACTTTCTTCATTTTATTCAAGAAGAGAATGCTTAAAAATGCTTGGAGTAAAGGCAGCTTTTCCCGTACGCTTTGAATCCGCACTAAACTCGTCAGCATCGCTCTGATTTTGCAAGGAGAAATAAATCCTGAGTGGCTGCACAGCATCACACACAAGAAGAAACAACCAGGCTTTTACACCAGTCCTAGTAAGAGACTTTAGGGGAGTCGGGAAGTGTAGTGAAAGTGTATTTCTTCTGCCTGTTGTTTGAAAATGCATCTTTAAATAGATAAGTGCTCAATCCCCATCTGCCAGTATACCAATGGTAGTCTCGATGTGACAGGCAGGTTTTTGGTGCTTAGCACTGTTGTTTCTAGGACACTGCCTTGGAAATACTCTGCTGTGTGTTTTATTTTGCTGCGAGAGGAAGGAAATCCTCACGCACTAGGAGTTCACATGTCCCTTTAAGTCTTAAAATATGTTAATTTTACATGCCAAAGTCTTAAGAAGTGTTTGACTGCCCGTGGCTTTTGTGTGCGTCTCCAGATGGCAGATGCCATTTTGTGTTTCACATTAATTGAGTAAATTTCCTTGCTCTTTGTACATATTGCAGAGGAAGCCATTCTCTGCTTTCAATAGGACAGAACAGCTCTTTGGCATCAAACCCTTCTGGTCTGGTGGTACTAAAACTGTTTTAAGGAGGAATTCTGCGAACAAGCTGTTGGCAATACAGATTCTCCCTACTGTAGGTGGAAGTCAGGCGTTTAACAGCTAACTTAGAAATATCTTGAGGGTTGTTCCTGGTGGATTGTGAAACAAATCAGTCAGGATAACCTCAGGGGCTGAAGACATAATAAGTTATGCTTTTTCAGTGTTCATTCAACTAAAGGGAAAAATAACTCTTTAGTCTTGGCGGGCACTGTTTTTCATTCATTTTCCTGCTCGTTTTGCTTTTTTCCCTATCATTTTGTAGATATTAAGGGAAAAAAAAGAGGTCTCAAAGCTTCACTTTGTGCCAACATTAGTGAAGTTGTAGAAATTGGCACTACTGCTTTTTGGGGCACAAGCAGCAAAAGAGGGCGTGATGTGGCCACCACAAGTAATACCTGAGGTGCTCCCATATGGAGGTTAGAGTAGTCGTAAGTTAGGTGCTAGTGATAGGGAGAATTTATGCACAGCAATGCTTTAGAAATGGCTTAATGTGGTTTTACACCAAGATAGAATGAGTCCAGCGATCAGATTTTAAATCACCCTTTTTACTGCTTTCTGAATGCTCACTCTCAAAACTCCCTGCAGAAGGGAGGCAAAGCAGATATCCTGTCTGTTTGAAGAAGAATATAGAAGTTAATGCTCATCAAAGACACCAAGATTATATGCCATGTTATTAATCAGATTTTTATCATGGTAAATGGTGTCCAGATATAGTTGAAGTGGGCAGTGTACATAATAACATAATTATGGGTGTTACAGTGACGTAACAGCAGCAGGAGCCCGGCTCCTGACTCCTTTGTTTTCCATTCACACCCACCATGATCTACTGCTATATTTAGTTGTTTTTCACAGTGCTACCTAATACTGTCATCCCAAGTGTTGTTTTGGGGTTTTTTTTTAAGGAAAACCATAAAGATAAGACTGCATTGATTTTCCATGGAAGCCCAAATGCTGGAATCTGTTCTTGCAGATCATAGTTTAAGCAGGGGGCTATTTTTGTTGGTTTTGTTGGGGGGAAGGTGGTTATGTTATTGTCATCTTCTGTGTGTGAAATGCAATTGGAGTCGGGGCAGAGCGGCAGCTGGTGGAATCTATCCCAGTTCCACTGCCTTCTGTGGTCTGGGACTATCCGTGTCTGCTGAGGAGCTGCTCCAGACAATTGAAGGCAAGCTTGTGGAGCATGAAAAGAGCTGAGATTATTATATAACTAAGTGGTGTTTGGGGATTCAAATAAAGGAAGTTTTGACTGCTGAATTGCTGCACTTCAGCAGTTCTCAGTCTATCATTTTTGGCACAGCTTGTTTGCACGAGCTTGCAGTTCCAGAGACACCTGAAAAACACCCGTGTGCTTCTCAGGTAGCCCTGGGATGATGTAGGGCAGCAAAGCTCAGACCCCAGGAGGTGTTTGCAGCAGGAGGTGTTGCATTGTGCTTACACCTCATCATAGCCTAAGTTCCCTTGCCCAGAAGTTAGGCATTGCAAGTGCCCCAGAAGAAAAGATCTCAATTTCAAACCAGAGCTTTTGTGGTGTGATATACCTGCTGTGGTGAGCTAATTATTGGTATGTAGGGCTGTGTGACACCTGTGGGCATTGTGCTGTGGCCAACAACAAGAAAAAGAAGAGATTTAATGCCTCATGGAGCACTGTTTTTTTCTGCCTGTGTTGTTGTTATCACAGAACTGGCTCCTGAATTAAAGTCTTTGTCAAACACCACCAAATCAAGTACACTGTGAGTGAAGCTTGCAATGCGAACATCAGAAATGTCTTCTGTGTTTGGGAGCACAGCAAAGTGTGATGCTGCTGTAAAGAAAAAAGCCCTCTCAGGAGTCCCAGACTAGATGAAGACACAAGTCCAAGAGCCCCGGAAGGATGTTGTTTGCCAGCTCTACAATAGGTTTATTCAGCAGGAGTCAGCAGGTTTGCCTGTGTTCCTATGGTCAAAGCCTCATTCATTCTGTGCAGCATAGGTCAGCTCTGGTGCAACTATTGATATCTGTGGAGCACTTGCTCTGCTGCTGTGATTTAAAAAAAGTCAGTGTTGTAGTTACAAAGCAGTAGTGACTCCTCTGTGTTGTATTTATTGTAACATTGCAGCTCCCTCTCTCTTTAGTGGAGTACACACGCTACGTCTTACCCAGAGCAGTGCGAACAAAGATGGAGAAGGGTCTGTATAGGAAGAGCTTTCAGAAACTGCACCCTCCTCCCATGAGCTCTTAAAAAATATTTTAACAGCAGACAAACAAACCTCAGTCTCAGCCTCATTCTTTTCATACATTCAATGACACTGCACTGAGGATCCAGGTCATTCCATATTTATTTGGATTTTAAATCACTCCAGAATAAACAAAGCGCTCTTCTTGCTGTCTCCTGGACCTCTTTCGATCACCTCAGCTCTGTGTAGGAAAGTGGCTGCAGTGTATCACCAAGTCACTCGGTGCTTGGGTATGTTTTGGTCTGTTGCAGTTTTTGAGAGAGAGATGCATGATGCCTTGCTGAGGCTGCCAAGGTGCAAGGCAAGAGGATCACCTGTAGCCAGCCACATAGAAGGCAACGAATACATTGAATAACACTAGCACAGACAACTGATCTTTGTCTACTGCCAAGATAAGCACTTCTGCTAATGAGATCAATGCAGCCTTCTGTATCTAATAAGGCTTACGCTCAGCTTGATGAAGGTGAAGACAGAAAT